GCAGGGCAGGGCAGGGCAGGGCAGGGCAGGACAGGGCAGGGCAGGGCGGCTGGACAGGGTCGCTTCCTGGTTTTGGCAGGATCTACGAGCGGCAAGCGAACGCAAGATGAACGATGTAGACATGATCGCATGAAGTTTGGGACGACGAGGTGCTCGCATCGCAGCCTCCGAGATACACAAGTACGGGCGGAGAGCAAGACTCAAGACGAGGCGGCCAAAGCCGAGGCGCTTTGTGACATGTCACACTGCGCCAAGCATAGCGTGTAGCCGCCTGCTTTTTGCCTCGGCTGGGAGTGCGTGTCGACGTCGCGTTTGCAAAGTGCAAGTCAAATCGGGGAGATCGGCAAAACTGCAATCTTGATCCACTCTGTGATTCCGAATTTTGTATATGTTAAGGCGCAAGGTTGAGCCTCAGGGTCGCCGAGGACGGCCACGTTCGCAAGCAGGTCCGGAAGAGCGGTCCGGCGGATTCGAAGTGGCGCGGGGCAGCGGACGGGAGGCCGCGAATTGACCGCACCGGCGCTCCGCCCAAGATTTTTAGGCTTTGCAGCAGGGCACACGGCGACGAGGAGCAGCTGCAAAGCCGCGTGGGGAAAGCAAGCAGCAGCAAGCAGCAGCAACAGCAGCCTCCGCCCGCCTCCGGCTGCCTCCCACAATGCTGTGGGGAGGGATGCAGTTGGGGCGGTGTTCAGTGTCGTCTGTCGCCCCACGTTGAGCCAACTCGCAACGGCCATTTCGCCTTGCACCCTCGCTCCAGCCCATCATCTCGTTTCGCTCTCTTGCAAGCTCAGACAGTCGGACCAGCCTTCCGGTTCGCAAACAGCCTTTGGTTCAGTTCGCAAATGTGAGTAGCCGGCCGCGCCCGTACGCCGCTCGGTCCGACGCGACCGCAAGTCCGTTCCCCCGCGGTCCTGTTGGGCTTGCACCCTCCCCACGCTGTGTCCTCTGGCTTCGACACCTGCTACGGCTTGCATCGTCCATATTATCGAAGCTGACCTTCTGCTTCCTTCCGACCTTCCCCACACATCCATATCCTCTCCTCCAACCTACGGTGTGCGCTCTCCTTGCTTCACCGCTTTGCCGTCTGGTCTCTCTTCTTCCCTGGCTCGATCCAAACGTTCCAACAACGCCAATATCCGCCATGGCACCTGTCGCCGTGACCGAAGCAGCGCCCGTGTCTGCGCTCGCCACCAAGCTCAACGGCACCAGCGTCGAGATGAACGGCGCCGCATCGTTTGGGCCCAACACGTCCGCCGTGCTGCACGGTGCCAAGGACCTGCGCATTGAAGAGCGTGCCTATGTCGCCCCCTCGGGCGACGAGGTGCAGGTGCGCGTGCGCGCCACCGGTCTGTGCGGATCGGATCTGCACTACTACCTGCACGGACGCAACGGCGACTTTGCGCTGCAGCATCCCATGTGTCTTGGCCACGAATCGGCGGGCGAGATCGTCGCACTGGGTCCCGATGTTCCTGCTGCGACGGGGTTGGCCGTGGGCGACAGGGTGGCGATTGAGGCAGGGCGATTCTGTGGCTCGTGTGGCAAGTGCCGGGATGGAAGGTACAACCTGTGCAAGCAGATGCGCTTTGCCTCGTCGGCCAAGACGTTCCCGCACCTGGACGGGACGCTGCAGAAGTACATGAACTGGCCCTCGTGGCTGGTGCACAAGCTGCCCGCCAATGTCTCGCTCACCAGCGCTGCACTGTGCGAGCCGCTCTCCGTGGTTCTTCAGGGCATTCGTAGGAGCCAGTTGCAGCCCGGTCAGAGCGTGCTCGTGTATGGCGCGGGTGCGGTGGGTCTGCTTGCATGTGCGGCTGCCAAGGCTTCGGGTGCTGGATTCGTTGCTGCGGTCGATATCGATGCTGGCCGACTCGAGTTTGCTGCTGCAAACGGGTGGGCGGATGCAACCTACCTCCTCCCGCGCGCACCTCCTGCCGAGACAAACGGATCCACCCAAGAGCTCGATGCTCGTGCTCGCAGGACAGCCGAAGACAAGGCCGCGATTTCTTCCGCCTCGTCCTCCGCCCAAACCCTTCTCTCTTCCCTCTCGACGCCCAAGACCTCGTCCACCGGGTACCCTGTTCAACCCGCGCCGCTCGATCTGCAGAGTGACGGTTTCGATGTGGTGTTCGAATGCACCGGTGTTCCCGCCTGCGTTCAGACCGGCATCTTCGCCACCAAGGCCGGCGGAAAGATGGTGCTCATCGGCATGGGCAACCCGATCCAAACGCTCCCCATCGGCTCGGCCAGTCTGCGCGAAGTCGACATCGTCGGTGTCTTCCGATACGCAAACACCTACCCCACCGCCCTCGCCCTCCTTGCCGGTGGAACCCTGCGTGCCCAAGGAGGAGGCCTCCACGCACAAGCCACCCCCACCGACTCCACCGAGGGCAAAGGCAGTGCGAAAAAGATGGGCGGAATCGAGAACCTCGTCTCCCACGCCTACCCCCTCGCTGAATCCGCTACCGCTTTCCAAACCCTCGCAAACGGAAAAGACGCCAACGGAAGGGGCGTCGTCAAGGTCTTTATCACCGACGATCAACCCTAAACCCACCCTCTTTCTTCCTCTCAAATTCCCGCCTGTCACTCGTTCGCGCTGAATAGACTTGTTTGCAAAAATGACTCCCTTGATTGTGGTGTGAATTGTGCATGCGTGCGTGCGGGCATGGGCTAGATCTGGTCAACAACAGCCACGGACGACGATATCGAGAGTGGGCCCACTTCGCCGATGGGCGTACTGGTGCTCGACCCCGCGTCCGCGTCGTCCGTGTCGTCCGTGTCGCGACTAGCGCGGTCGCTGGCGAAGTGCGTGCGTTCCAGCGATGGCGACACATCCTGCCACGACTGCGCCGTCGGCAACGAGTCTATGAACCCCGATCCAAACCGCACCGGCGTGCGCTGCTGCGGGCTGGTCTGCGCAGACTCGGCCGCTCCAGCTGCTTCGGGGGATGCTCCAGGCTCGACCGACAACGGCCTGAACGGCTCGTACAGCGGCGGCGGCGACTTGACATTCGTCCCGCTCGAGGGGCCCACGTCTGCTTGCTCGTTGGACGCCGTCTCCAACGCCATGTCGCCCTTGGCGCCCTCTGTCGCCGCTTGTAGTATCTGGTCGATCTCGTTGGAATCGCGACCGCTGAGCACCTGCTCGAGGGATTCCTCGAGGCCCAATCCGGCCTGGCGCAGTCCAAGCCCGAGCCCCGCATCGCCGAGCGCTGTTTCGCCGTTCGGACGCGCTGCGTCGTGCGCTGCCGTCGCTTCGACCGTAGGCTCTTCCGCCGCTTCCGCCGCTTCCGCCGCTTCCGCATCGGTGACACCTCGCTCCGCCTGAGG